TCAGCGCTTTATTACTTGGCTTTTACCAATTATAGCAATTATTTCTGCTTGGGTTAATTTTCTTTACATACTCAGAAAATCTCCATCTGGAATTTATATCTTAATGATGGCAAGAATTTTATATTCATTTTCACAGGTTAGTAATTCTTTTAGATTTATCTTTTTATTATTTTTGTTTATTGTTATAATAGAAGTAAACTTTCTATTTTTTAGCACTAAATTTTGTTCATTTGCTTGTTAAGGTTCTGTTAAAACAGTAATTAGCTTAAAATAGATCAAGCATAAATATGGTTAGTTCTAAGTAAAGCAAATAATTGAACATTACATTAATCAAGAAGAAGAAGCATTAAAAAGAAAGAGAGTTTTTGGTTGAGAAGAAGAAATTTTTTGAAGTTTCTTTCCAAATTATGTTTTTCACTAAATTTAAATTTTTTTTTTTATAAAAATAGGCTTAAACTAAATAGTTTTTTTTTTTTGCATTTATTTGTTTACTTAAAACTAAAATTACTGTCAAAATGTTAAAGTTACTGTTTTTAAGCAGACCTTCTGTTGTCAATTGATATCAAATACATTGTAAACTTTAAAAGTTAGTTGTTGGTACACTAAAAACTTATGACAGTGTAACACAGTGTTACGTTAAATTATAATTTAGAAAATTTTACTCTCAGCAAGCATTAATATTTGATGGGAAAATCACAGATTATTGAAGGTCAAATAAATTGGTTAAACACCAAAAAAAAAAAAAAAAACTGCTTTAAAATTTTTTTTTTTACCAAAAAATAGTCGTAATTTCTAAGAGTAACAGTAACAACGGCGACTTTAAGCAGTAAAAGAATAGCGAAAAAAACTTTGATATAAGTTATTATTATTAGAAAAAAAAGCGTTTCATATAGGTCGATTAAACGATAATATTGGCTAATAAATTAATAGCTTATTTGATACAAATATTTTATATAAACTATTTGCCAAAAAAAATTACCCATCCTCTGGTTATTACAGATTGCTATTATTTGGATACCAACATTACTTGCATTTGCTTTTGCATTCCATTTGGTTATGCGAAACAGTGGTACAGAACCTTGGGAAGCTACCGAAGCGGTTAGTGCATCTGTAGCTTATCAATAGAAAGCTTTATTTCTTTATCATATTCCTCTAAAAGTCCTTCTTTGATCACTTAAATTAGTAAATAAAGTAATATTTCAAAATGATGGTCATTGTTTTGTTATACTGTTGTTTTTTATTAATAATATACATAGATTCAAACTTCATCTTCGCTGTCCTTTTTCAGCTATAAAATATTGCCACATTTTCACTTTGATTAGCACCCTTTATCAGCCTGTGCATTTTCAGTTTACATCTGCAAACGCAACATTTGGTGAAAAACTTCTTGCCATCTTTCAAGCGGTTACAAAAACCTCTACAATGATGATAGGTAAGCAAGAAAAAAAAAAACCACTAATTTTTTGTAACATTAAAGTTTCATTATTTAATGAAAAGATTCCAACAGTTATAAGTCATTTTGCCTTTTCCGATTTGTTGACAATCTTGTTTTTCTTTTTTTACAGGTGAGGTAGATGCCGATACAGTTCTGGGGCGGAAACAGTGGATTCCGAATGTGTTACTTATTGCTTTTGAAGTGATAACAGTCATTCTCCTGATGAATTTGATGGTTAGTTGACGCTTTCGCGGCCGATTACTGCGCTTTTTTTTCCAGTTGAAAGACTGAAACAGAATTTAAAAATTTTTGATTTGTTTGTTTCTAAACTTAAACATCTCCTTATTTAGGTATCGTTAGCAGTTGGTGATGTAAGTGAGCTCCGAAATTCTGCTCAAGACAAACTTCTAGAAATCAAGGTTAAAAAAAATTTCTTTTGAAATTTTTTGTAAATTAAATCTACATAAAATTCTCTCGTCGCTTTGCTAAATTTTTTTTAACAACGGTTTTTGGGTGTTCAATAGTTTTAGGAAATTACTAAAATTCAAAAAGAAAAAAAATAAATAAATAAAGGTACCTTTCTGGTAAAAATATTTTCTGAAGCTTAAAGTTTCATAAAAGAACTTTGCAACCACCTATTTCTTTTTAGAATTCTTCATTGATATGAAGAAGTTTTCAATAGTTTCAACGTTTGTCTTTAATTCAGTAAAAGATTTTTTACTTTAAAACATTTTATCTTTTTTACTGCTTTACAGTTAATCATTCTAAAGGTGAAATAACAATTTGGAGCAAACACTATGATAGCTTTAGGTCAGTTTTGTGGTTGAATCACTGCAACTGTCAGAAGCTACAGATTGCTTTGGAGATAGTCGATTTAGCAAATTACACGTCAAACGAACCAACAATGTGTTGGTGGTGGAAGACGATGGGAATTCGTTTACGACAATGAGAAGGATCGATTTTGACGAAAAAGGTGAAGGTAATTTTATAGAATTCAAAATGTAAAATTTTTGTTTTTGCTTATCGAAATTGTCTGCTCGCGTTAAGTTTGCTCCTGAACGCTCTGGTAAAAATAAGAATCTGTTACTTCATGAAGTTTCATACTTGCTTCAGTTGTAAAGAAGTCTTTTTCTTAGAAAGAGGTGACCGTAGAAATTTCATGATTCTTAATTTAAGTAAAGATTGACGAAGTTATATTCTGGTTGTTTTTAGAAGCTTCTGAAGTTTCTAAAAATGTTTTACTAAGCGAAAACAGGAGAGAAATGCCGGTTGTCGGAATAAAACCAGGCTTTAATGTTCTCAGGTACGTTTGAATTTTCTCAAAAGCCACAACTTTCTTTCACAACCCAAGTTTTTTTT